TTTTTTATACTTTGAACGGAAAGAACCAATGGTTTATTTCATCACTTTGTTGAAACATGTCTGCAAATTTCTATTTGTTTTTATTGTATTAATATTTTGGAAATATTAATTTCTATTTGTCTGATATTTAACAGGAAGAAAATACAAATATACACACGCCTGCGCAATTTTTGAAAAATCATTTTCCATTAAGTATATACCTATTACTGTATAGACTCAATTGGAGACAGTAAAAACGATATTGATGAAAATGAAACAATTGAATAAAAGAAAAATATGAAAGCATATCAGGTTACATATACAAAACGGATATATAAAATAATATAAATATGTTAGTAATTGTACAAATATAAAATAGTGTAAATGTAAGTGTGTTAAATATAAAATGTAAATGTGTGTTAAATATAAAGTGTAAATGTAAATGTAAATATGTATATAGCCTAAGGTAACGTCATTGCAGGTTCCAAGCCCTGATGAGAAAGATAAGGGTTTAGGTAACATACGTAATTTTATAGGCTGTGTACATATTTACACTTACATATTTATATATTTACACTTATTTTCATTAGTACATTTATTTACATATTTATGTACATTATACAGGGTGTCCCAGAATTTTTAACACAGTGTTCGTATGCAGGTAGAACGGACTAAACTAAGTGGAAAAGTCCTGTACCATTTTGCAATTTTAGCATAGCAATAGTTTACGAGAAATTAATTATTATATATTATTTATTATTATTATTTATTATATATATTATATATTATTATTATATAAAGATTATCGAAACAGTACGTATTTGCCCCGCTTACTGACTTCGAATGGGGCTCCAGCGTCCCGCGCCGCTCGTGAAAAACCATTCCCGCTTGTAGTAAACAACTCCTCGCGCCTAGCAACGCATAAGCGCAGTCGTATCTCGCCGCGCGCTTGCATTTGGTGGTAAGCCGGGCGAATACGGGCTGATTCGACAATCTTAAATAATTAATTTCTCGTAAACTATTCCTAAAATAATATAAAACTTTTTGATTTAGTTTAATCAGCTCTACCTACATACGATTGTTGTGTTAAAATTTCTGGGACACCCTGTATAAACACGTTATACATATATATTCATTAATTTTTTCATTTTCATCAATATCGTCTTCACTGTGTATACTTAATGGAAAATGATTCC